GAAACTCTCTTGACAGTCAAAGTTCTGCATTTACCTTAATTAATGATGTTTTTTTTAAACTGGATCATCTATGAATAACTAGATGTTAAAAAATATTCAATATCTCCAGTTCGCTTTAATCAGTCGGGCTGATGTTTTTCTCTTAGTAATAGATTTATAATCAAAAGTTTTGATGAGTAGGGAAACGGCTAAATAGATGCTGCTGTGAACTAACACTATTGATCTTACTGAAGAAATACATTATTGGTCAAAAGTATCTCACCTATTCTTAAGGCTCGGCATACAACATATCTAGCGTATATAATATGGTAGAAAAATAGATCAGTAAGAGCAATATAGCTACGCCTATTTGAACTGCAGAACAGTTTTGATCTATAGCGAATCCTATAAATCAAAAAGAGACGAAGCTTATCATTCGACGAATCTATCATTATACAATTCTTTAATATAGCCATTTACGTTCTGGGTGTCATCGAGTTTCGTTTAAGCATACAAAAGTTGTGAATATTTTACATAATGATAAGTTGATCAGGTCGTAAGCTTCTTGCTCTGTTGAGTTATAAAACATGACAGAACACAGCATTTTTTAGATCTCTTCTTTGTACATGATGAGTTAGATCTCATGTTTACAACATATATACTAGGTGATACTAGTAAAAGATCTAGCATAAGCTCAGTCTTTCAGTGCACCAATTTGTTCAAAAGCATACAAATTCGATGTCTAGTGTTGTCTGTTTATCTCAATTAAATTACATGTTGTACTCATTTAACATAAAAAAAGTGGAAATTAATTAAATGAAATTCATGTCACAAATCGACACCAACAGACAAAACTTATCGAAATCGAAAATCATCGACTTCAACAGATTGACGTTGTGCTGATCTCACTGACCTACATATCTCAAATAGCATATCTAGTAAAAATTTTCGATAGTCCGCCCTTCGAACAGCTGAGGTCAAATAGGGCCATTTTCGGCCAATAATACTTCTTCTAAATAGTGTCCCTTGACAACTTTCTTAAAAATAATAACTTTGAAAAGTTCTCTATCAACAAGAAAAATGCCTCACTCTGATTGATTAAATGAGACTGCAACAACTGAGTGCGTTCATTGTCTAGTTATTTATACGTCACCCTATACCATAGTGAAAATCAACAGTCAGCGAAATGATATAAAATGTCTACAATTTTCCACAACTTTAATTCTGCCTGATAAACATTCAATATGACAATCAGTATGTCAATCTATTATCTTTCACAAAATACGTTATCCTAGAAACAATTTCTATTTATATATAAAACACATGCATTAAAATGATTACTAAAGAGAAATAAAGACAATTGATTGTTTTTTTTTTAATAGTTTTATTCTTAACGGTCCAAAACAAGAATCGTTATGTGTATTTTTTATCTTTTCTTCTCGTTTTTTTTTTCTTGTACAGACAGAGAACGATCGAAAAAATTAACTCTGTTTAAACATAGAATTATTGCTAATTTTTTTTTTGTTAAACAGAACTTTGTACTGGTGGTTCATAACCATCGGCACGTTCAACTCGTTGACCATTTTCACCGACAGTTACACTACTATAACTTTCACCATGCATTTCCATAAGACGAGCAACTAGATTAAATAATCATAAAATAATTCAAATGAATTATAAATATATTTTTTTTATTTTTACCATCGAATTTTGGTTTTTTGAGTACTTTTACTTTTCGAATGTTAACATTTTGTAATGGATAGATACCGCGACAAACTTTTTCAATTTCCGAGCCAATACTATTCGGAATACTAAACAGAACAAAAGAACAAAAAGATAATATTAAGAAAAAAAAAAGTTAAAAAAAAATAAAATTTACAGTTTGTTAACAACTTCTTTAAGTTCACTACCACCAATATCACGTGTCATTATTTCGACCATTTTTTTACGAATCGCTTTGATCTAATCAGACAAAATATCTTTTTGTTTTTGTTGAATAAAGAATTTTTATTAAACAAACTTGTGTATGTTGTGCATATGATGTTTTCGTAATTTGGCCGCGCATTTTCATAGTAAAACCAATACAAAATACACGTAAAAGATAACCATCAGATGTACGAATATCAGCTTGAGCTTCAATTAATGTCTTAAAATAAAATCCTTATTAACAATGAAGATTTATTATGCTTTGTTTTGTGTTTTTACCTGCCATTTTTTTACAAGCATACGTAGACGATCTGTTGTAATGTCCATACCATGAAAATTAGTTAAACAATGACGTCCTTGTACATCTTCACAAATAAGTTTAAATTTACGATAGCTATCTTCATCATCGAGTTTGATTAAATCACCAAGTGATGATTCAAATACACGACCTTTCAAAGCATCCGAAGCGATTTCTATTGAAGAAAACGAAACATGATTTTTTTAATAGAGAAAAAAAATAAAAATATAAAATATACTTGTGCCTGTTGTTCGTGTTACAAGTGTTCGGCCAATAGTACGTGTTTCAAAATTAGCTGGTGCTTTAATATCATACCAATCTTTTTTGGAAAAAGGATCAGCACTGAAATAGGAAAACAAAACATCGATTAAATCATTCATTTAATGAAAAAGAAAAAGAAACGAATCTTCGAAAAAACGTACACTTTCTTTTTGCCACCCTTTTTGCCACCTTTTGTAAGACGTTTGTTCTTGCCGATGGCCATTTTTTATAATTTATCTTTAAGAATAACAACACAAAAATTATTTCAATTCAAAAAAAAAAACAAATAATATATTCAGTCGAATCTCAGTCCCGTCTTGAATACACTTTTCATAGAATTTATAATCGTGTAAAAATTTTTCATCATCGATATCGACTGAATATTTACACTAAATGTTTCAGAAAAAATCACAAAGTACTTCTATACAATATATGCACTAGCAGAATTTTCATAAAGATTATATATTATATAGAAAAAAAAAAAAACAAATACAGCACTATACGTGGATTATGTCGACGCATATTTTGTCGAAATGCTGATATATATATACATATATATGACAATAACACAGTAAATAGATATGAACGAGAAATACAAGAAAATAATTTTAACCAGTCTAAAGATCCTGAAAATAAATTTTGGATTAGTCCATAGTAACATTTATATGTCCTTCTTCAAAGTAACATCATTTCATATTCCATGTTAAACATTTATGCAGATGATTTATTCTTAAATGCTGATTGGTTTAGATTTTTTTCCTTATAACGTAGGAAGAATAACACGACATAAATATTTTTAATAATCATCTGCTTTTCTTTTTTTTTCTCATGAGAAAATCGATTGTTTTGACGTTATACGTTTGTTGTTGTTTTTTTTTAGGTCGTGAACATGGAAAGTCATTCATATTTAATTTTGATTATTAGTCTTTTTCAATTGATTACTATATCATATTCACTTTATTTTCACATTGGTGAAACAGAACGAAAATGTTTTATAGAAGAAATTCCTGATGAAACATTAGTTATTGGAAAATATAAAGTTGAATTATTCGATGAAAATACAAAAACATATCTTCCATCAACACCTGGAATTGGTATGCATGTCGAAGTTAAAGACCCGGATGACAAAGTAGTCTTATCAAAATTATATACTAGTGAAGGACGTTTTACATTTACATCACATATACCTGGTGAACATATTATTTGTTTATATTCGAATTCAAGTGCTTGGTTTGGTAAACAACAATTAGTATGTATTCATATCGAATGAAATAGTATTAAAATTTTAGTTGACTTCGTTTTTGTTTCTAGCGTGTTCATCTTGACATTGATATTGGTGAACATGCAATTGATTATCAACAAATTGGAGCACGTGAAAAACTTACTGAACTTCAACTACGTGTTAGACAATTATTAGATCAAGTACAACAAATGTATGTTCGACATATAAATCTTTTATTCTAACATCAAAATAGATACCAGTTAAATGGAAAGAAAAGAAAGTTGGTTATTATCCGTTAGGCTCCTCTATTTTCTGCTTTTTTCTGATTACAGCTCGTCGCAAAATTTCAAAATTTTTTAAACTAGATAGATCTCATAAAATTAACATTTATTTTTAGAGAGATATTAGACATCGTTTGTGATGCGTACTTGTTTTTTAGTTTCCTATCTTCTTTCATTCAAATAAGAAGGTCAAATTACTCATCGTACTTCCAAAAAAAGCATATTTTTTCTACTTGACCTTTATTTTGTAAAGCCTAACATAAGTCATCGGAACATAAAATTTGAAACAAAAAAATTAGACATATTGTAGTTTATGTGTCAAAAAATGCATTTTTCAGAAACAGCGAAAGAATATTTAAGTTTGAATCTTTACAACAAAATAGTTCATCATTTTCGATTTTTTAACTTTAATAATTATATATTTATATTCCTAGTAGATCTAGAATACGTCGCAGTGTCTATCGAACAGAAGGAAACAAAAAGATTCGCATTCAAAAAAATGAATAGTTCTTTGAAATAGTTTTGATATTTTGTTAATCAATTAAATATTTTGATAAAAGTACCATCTGACATTTGTTTTTTCTACAGTAAATCCTTTTTCTAGCATGATTAGAAGAAGACTTTGCAATAAACATAACTATTTGGTTCATGTAAGGAAGAGAAACATATTGAAAACTTTCTTTTCTAGAACAAAAGAACAAAATTATCAACGTTATCGTGAAGAACGTTTTCGTGCCACAAGCGAATCAACAAATCAACGTGTTTTATGGTGGTCATTAGCTCAATTAATTGTTTTAGTCATAGCTGGATTTTGGCAAATGCGTCATCTTAAAGGATTTTTTGAAGCTAAAAAACTTGTTTAGATTTTTTTTATTTATTTAATTTTAATAATCTCATGGTGTTTCGATTGCAATTAATCTCAATTAGTTTCTAATTAAAATTTTTTGATTTATTCTCTTTTAGAAAAATTTTCTTTTGAAAAAAACCTAGATCAAAAAAGAACAAAAGTCTTATTTTTCTATATTCATATTCGATGCTTGCTCGCGGTGTACGAAATGTTATTTATAATTATACGGATGCTCAACGCAAAGTTCGATCGGCAACATCGAATGATGCATGGGGTCCATCACCAGCACTTATGCATGAAATAGCTGATTTAACTGATAATGTTGTTGCCTTTTCTGAAATCATGCCAAGTAAGTCGATGATTTATATCAAGCTTCCTATCTTTCCTTTAAAATAGAACTTTTAAATTATTGCATAGCATTAACTTGAAATTTCGCATACATGTTGAGTTTGACTATACATTTTGTATCGAACTCATAGCAATTCTAGTACTCGTATTGGAGTGGTTGTTTTTTTAACATCATTCAACTACTTCAAGAGACAGTCCATTTTCTTTTTTTTTATTTGAAAGCTGGCACTTGCCGCTGATGACTCTTCTGGTTCTTGTTTTTACTGTTTTCTTTATTGAGATACGCGCGAGTTGATGACATTGTGAAACTTCATTAAAAAAAGAACTGATCAAATTTACATAATGAAAACGATTGTCTTCTTGGGTTCAGATCTATTCTGACAAAAAAAGTCCCGAGGGTCATTAGTTCGAAGTATCAGCTTCAAAATATAAAAAAAGAAAGATTCTATCTCTTGAAGTGGTCGAAGGACGTTCAAGATACCAGAAGATCCTACAATAATTTCAACATGTACAATAAAATTCTTATTGCTTCGACAGATTACAAGAAATCAAACTGGAATTTTTCCGAGGTGTAATAGGTGAAGTACTTCAATCTAGAAACAAAACATAGAGGGGCGTTAGGCTGTAGCAATGGTTCTTTCTCGAAACTAAGTTTCATCTTTTCCAAATAGCCGATTTGAATGAAGTATTCCTTCTGCCATCGAATGGCGTATAGGAATATAATACAGTATTCTTTGCCTTTTCCTTTAGACGACATTATTCACTCGTATATATAGTATAAAGGTATCCATGACAAAGTTTTCATCTTATGATGCTATGAAAGCAGCAATCTACTTTGAATTACATATTATCCAATAGCTCTTTTGAGGTTCTACAAAGTGTTGGTATTACATCGAGCTGAGTTTGTGCCTAAGAAATGTCACTCAAACGCACTATGTTCGAGAGCGCCAAAAATTACTTTCTTTTTTGACTGATATTCTAGAAGTTTTAATCTCAATAGTTAGGTTGTTTTTATCAAAACAAATGACATATTTGAAAGCAGAATAATAAACTGAATCGATCTATGTATGTCAAAAAATGATCTATCAACTTTCATTTTTCTTGAAAAATTCACTCGAAACGTCGGTCTAACTATGAAAATACAGCTGTAAATTTTAAAAAAAAACTAGAAAAACTCAAAATGAAATTTCGATTGAAATTTTTTGGTGTGTTTCTGAAGAGAAATAGGACTGAAGTTTTTGAGAAGAACGAAAGTTGATAGGTCATCTTGTAATATACGTAGAACAACTCAGTTTTTTATACATATTTCAAAAATGTCATTTGTTTAGATAAAAAAGAGTCTAACCTTTGAGGTTAAAACAGGTCAAAGATAGATTAAAAAGAGCCATTTTTGGTGCTCTCGAACATACTGTATTTGGATGGTGTCTTAGTCACTAACTAAGTTCGGTGTAATAGAAGCATTTTGTAGAACTTCAAAAAGGCTATCAAGTGGTATGTCATTCAAAGTAGATCATTGCTATTCATAGGATCATAGAATGATATTGATATATAACTCAAAATAAAAGTGCTAAAAGTGAAAGAGAAACTTTTCAAATGAAGATTGCATATCAGGTCTCTATGAAGGACAAATAATATCAAGTTTTAAGTCAGTCGTATATAGTTGAAATGAGCACTAACTGATTAACTCAAACGGCAATCCATATTGGACACCTGCATTGACTATTTGAGAAATATGAAACTCGGTTTCAATAGGAGGTCAATTTCTATCACTTAACAACTACTCTTCTTCCACTCAATATTATATATTTGATCGGGTATTCAGTTCGGAAATGCTAGGAGATCGCAATCGATTGAAGTTTCGATTTTGGCTCATAATATTTTATTTTTAGTTATATGGAAACGTTTAAATGATCATGGTAAAAATTGGCGTCATGTTTATAAATCTCTTGTTTTACTTGATCATCTAATAAAATATGGCAATGAACGTGTTAGCCAACAATGTAAAGAAAATATTTTTGCTATACAAACATTAAAAGATTTTCAATATGTCGAAGATCAAAAAGATCAGGGTTTTAATGTACGTGAAAAAGCTAAACAGTTAGTTGCTTTACTTAAAGATGATGAACGTTTACGTAATGAACGCCGAAAAGCACAAGAAGCTCGTGAACGTTATGCACGCCAAGCGATGGGAATGGATTCAAGTGGTGCTGTTACATATGGCCGTCCAGCAAATTCGACGTCAATGCGACGTAATAGTGCTGAAGGTGGAGATCATTTTAGTGGAACATCATATCAACTCAATTCGTATACAACAAGCTCAACTGCACATCGCTCATCATCCGTTAACGGAAATCTTTATCCAGCTGCAAGTAAAGATTTTGTTCAACCAACTAATCAAGAAGAAGAGCAATTACAAATGCAAATTGCATTAGCTGAATCGCAACGTGAAGTAAGTTTAAATAAGACAAAGAGAAAACTTATCATAATTTTATTTTTCTAGGCTGAAGATGAGGAACGTCGTCGTCGCAATGACGATTTAAAACTAAAAATTGCATTAGAACGATCAGTTAATGAAAAGTCACCAGATGCATTTAATTCCGAAGTAAATAAATTCTTGTTGAAATCATTAAAAGACATTGTTTTTTATTATATGCTTTAATGATACTAGATCTCATTGTTGTTCAATGAAGAGATAGAAAAGAAAAATACATTATATAGAGTTAACAGAAACAGAAAAATATTGCCTGAAAAATAGTTCCGATCGCGGACATGGAAAGCAAATAAAGAATGATAAAATAATCGAATCTGATGTGAATTTATATGTATACACGCCACCTAGACAGTTGCTATAAGTATATCGCTCCTAGAAAACCAATAGAAGGCCTATTGTTCAGCTAAACTCAACATATCTAAATTTGTCATAACAAATTCTTCAAGACGTCGTCAATAGTACATGCACTAGTAATAGAAGAAAAGAAATAAGTGGAACCAGTCTTTTTTAGTCCTGGCTGCACCGAGCTGGGCCTATCTTGCCTCTATCAATTTAGAGTGTATAAATCATGACAATATGACATTGGTCGCAGGTTTTACATAACTATATAAGGTATTATTCTGAATGAAAAAGTGTTAGTCCTAGTTCTACTATGACCATCTTATCACTATCTAGATCGAACACATTAGTTAAACCGTATGAATTTCAAATTATAACGAAAGGTTCTATCAAGGATTTCCTGTTATGAAGTAATAAAACAGAGAAAAAGGAACAAATTCACACAAAGAAAAAACGAAAAAACACAACAATAAAAAACTTTGTCGACATAATTGAATGACATTTCCCTGTTTGTGTTTCAATAAGATTTTAAGCATAGGAGTTCGAGATTGAATTTTAGTCAAAATACAGTTCTGTAAAAAGCTTCAGTATTAAAGTGATGTGCAACATATCGAACATTTTTAACATGCATTAAGTGATATCCTCCATAAAAACTAAAGTGCTAGATCATTGATGTCAAGTAGAGATCTCGAAAATTGATAAACTACTGCTGTGGAATTTAAGTCAGCAAGCTATCTTTTGCAATGGACTGAAACAACATTAAATAATAGTTGACCTTTTTCGTTGAGTCAATTAAGAGATAAAACACAAGATAGCTTTCGTTTTATTATTTTAGAGTTTTGATTTTTATTCCAAATCTCATCCTCTTGATCCACCTCCGTTCGAAATAAGTCATCAACATAATGATCCATATTTACCATCAACAACATCTAATATTGGATGGAATCCACCAAATGTTCGACCATCAAGTCATCTTGGGTTTACCACTGCTACAAGTATAGATATTTATTTTTGTTCTCTTATTAAATATATACTTGTTTTATTTTCTTATAGATGATCCATGGTCATCAGAACCAAGTGATCGTAGTTCTACAATGACAACCACAGCAACAAATGATCCATGGCAAATAGTTGCACCTTCATCGACTACACAAGCTAATCCATGGACTGAGACTAAGCCTACAGCGACTAACAATAGTACAGGCCTTTCTCTCAATATTGGTGATCCTTGGGGTCTTGGTTTAAATGATTCTCAAACAATAACAACTTTACCTCCAACAACAACTACTTCTAAAACAATTGATAATGAATTAAGTGAATTTTTTGGAGCTAGTGCAAGTACGATTTCTTAAGTTTTACTGCATACACATATTTATATTTGTATTTCTCATAGCTATTTCAACATCTAATAATCATCAACAACAGACATCATCAAATCCATGGAATATACCATCATCAAATTTTCCAGTAGTATCTAATAATTCAGGTTCAATTTCACCACCGAATACTGGTTTAAATACTGGTGGCAGTTTACTTTATCCAACACTTGCTAGTGGAAATAATTCCAATTCAAATAATCCAAGTCCACTTCCATCAGCAATATTAGCATCTCGTAAAACACCTGAGAGTTTTCTTGGTGAAAACTTCAGTAATTTAGTTAATCTCGATAAATTGGTTACGGATACAAAAAGTAACATAAAAATAGGAAGAACACATAAGAGTCATTTTTGGGCTGTCTGTTGCTTTCGTTGCTTTAGGATTTAGTGAATGTTAAGTTTCGTAAGGAATCGTCTGATAACAATGTAAAGCTATTTTTTGAAGAGTCTAGACCCACTTTTGTATCATAAATATATGATTTATACATAGAAGTATCAAGAATGTATATTTTTTCTAAATACAACATTTGAAATAGAAAATTATCAAAAATAAGTACCCATCTTATAGTATAGCCTTTGTAAACGTTTTAGCTTGAATATCTGAAATCAATCTGAGTAATTATACAAAAGTTATTAAGAATGAGTAGGAGAATCATTTATTTGATTACTTATGCTCACTATTTTTGCAATATTTCAAGAGAGAAAAAAACAACATGAAGTTTCGATTAGTCTTAACACTTCGAAGAAAAAGCTGCCAAACGATATACTTTTCGACTTTTTAAGAGTTGACTTTTATTAAGTAACCTTCACTTAGGCGCCAATGTTTTTGAACTTTGGATTGATATTTAAAAGTTCTTTGTCATAATTTTTTTTTCAAAAAATTTAGCTGAGACCCCTTCAGGATCCAATCGAAACATAAATTTAGGCAAAACACTACTTTTATTGTCTACCCATCTGTTTTTTGTCTCCTAATGATATTTCACAAGTTCAAAATATGTTTTTTATTGTTCAAAAGATTATCTAATTAATTTCAGTTTTCGGCTGGATTTTGAGAGAACTCGAACCAAATTTTTCAAGAAAAAAAGTATAACAAAAAGCTTTGAAATACGTATCATTTGTGGTTATCTGATTGAAGTCTATTCAATATCAATTAAGTATACAAGAAATGCGCCTAAACGAAAATTAAAACATCATACTGACCTTTCTTCCGTTCTCTAGATATTGAAAAAATAATGATCAAAACTCATAAAGCAAATAAATCATGATTTAAGGAAAGTGTTGAAGTATGGGATAGATATCGGAACTCTCCACCTCTCCCCCTCTAGCTATGACAGACACTGTCGGCAACGATTCGTCACCAACATGACGAACATCCTACTAGCAATACTCCAGGAATCATGACAGTTGCTGTGATTTTATGGTCAGAGGGCGTATATTAAAATAATGTCTCCGTATACTATATGAACTACTTCCTTATTGTATTTCCGGAGGATTAAGTAAAATGATAGTGAAGAAATGCAGTCCAAAAAAGATATAGTAAAACAATCTTCCTTTGATTAGAAACAGTAGTTACATGATGTTTCACATTTTAAATCCACAGCTATTGTGCTAATAGATTTTAGTATATGTTGAAGTCTCGTAGACTCTCTTGAAATCTGTTTTTTTCCTATCGATACGTTTATGGTACAAAATGTGAATCTTGATTTTTCATGTATGGTTTTATTTTGGTATCAAAGTATTTCTCGTTGTATTTTGTGTTTGGCAAGTTATGATTTGTAGAAAACTGATGATGATCGAAAAATGACTCAAATGCGCTCTTCCTGTTCTTTCTTCACATCCATCTATTTATATATATTTTTTATTGTCAGCTACGAATCCATTTGGATCAACGGCTACACGTGCTCAAAACCCATTTGCTAATTTAATGAAACCGCCAACACTTGATCAATTAAGTTCATCAAATAATACTGGTTTTACTAGTGGTTCACCATTACCACCACCTCTCATTCCTTCATCATTTAATACAACTACTTCAACAATAAATACCAATAATCCATTTATGTGAAACTATTTATCTTCCTGACATTTGTTTTTTTTACTAATCTTCCGTGAAAGAAAATCAAACAAAACTCTTTTCTTTTTGTCTCTTTTTTTTAGTTCTAACTGATACTGTTAAGCGAGCTTATACTATCTTGTTAATAATTATTTCTGGAATCTCTTTTTTTTCTGTATAATATGAAACTGATATACAAATCGTTTCTTAATCAATTTAAAAAGCCAAAGAAAGATTTTTTTTCTAAGTGTACATTAATTCTAACGCGCTTTTTTTCATACGAATATAGTTACATGTATTTTTTTTTTCTTTAAAACAATAAAATAAATAAATAAAACAAACTTTCTTCTTCTTTGATAGTCAATTTATCTTTAGCTTTTCTTCTTTTTCTAGATGGCTACAGGAGCCATCGCTGAGGATGAAATATCGTCTAGCCCACCAACGTCACCAATGTTTGCTGCACCTGATCCAGATATAAATCAATCAACATTTGATCGAAATGAAACAATTGCACCTATTCTATCTTTTGGTTTAATAACTGATATTCATTATGCTGATCATGATGATCGATGGAATTATGTAAAAACACGTTTACGTCGTTATAGAAATGCGACAAACTTAGTCAATGAAGCATGTAATTATTGGTTAAATGGAAAATATCCTATATCATTTATACTTCAACTTGGAGATCTTATTGATGGAGTTTGTTTTACAAATAAAACATCAGTCAATGATTTAAATGTAATATTAGAGCAATTTACCAAGAATTTTAAAACTTTACCCATTTATCATATATGGGGTAATCATGAATTGTATAATTTTACACGACAAGAATTATTAAATGGACCATTATGTACATTTGATACAAAAAATATATGTCCAGCACATTATGGAACATTTGAAGTATGCCCTAATTTAAGAATTATTGCACTTGATACATATGAAGTCAGTGCATTAGGTGTAGCAGATGATAGTGAAGTATATATTCAAGCAATTGAATTATTAAGAAAACATAATCAAAATGAACAACTGAATGATCCGACTGGTTTACGTGGACACCAACGAAGATTTGTACAATTTAATGGTGGCATAGCATCAAAACAAATGGATTGGTTAAAAGAACAATTAACTGCAGCTAAAAATCGTAATGAAAAAGTGGTTATTATTGGTAATATATGATTTATTTCCATTAGAATTACAAATGTTTTTTCTAAATTTCAATAAGCCTTATAAAATGTAAGAACGAACAGACCGAATACACAGGCGTTCGATTATCAAAGTTTTGTGAAACACGATCTCCAAATGAGTGTTGAAGTATAGGGACAGAAATTCGATTCCCTCTCCCCAATACTCATTGAATTTGGATCCAACTCGACGGGCTCTAATCGTGACAGATACCTTGGCTATGTTTTTGTTCGTCATAGTCTGTAGAAAACTTACTAGGGAAGTTCCTCAACTGATAAACCATTTTTGAGTGGGAGCGACGTGCATAATGTAGATTCAAATGAGCTTATAAGACCCTGAAAAAAAAACCGGATCTTAATTTATTGCTGTGTAGAGAGTGCAAATTAACGGTAGTTTTTAAAATGAATGCTGCAGCTCGCCTCAGGAAACACCAGACAAACTACTTTTCGAATCTCGACTTGCAGCACTTCGTACAAAGACAAGACTTAAAACAGAAGTGCTTTGTTGTGAAAGCTTCAGGTCTTTTGATTTGCTTCTATCCTGAGATAAGATCGTCAACTCTATCCTCATATATCATCGATTTAAGAGATGTGCTTTCACTATAATTGCTTTTTAAGACAAGAACCCCGACAAGATCTAAAACTATTCTTGTCAAAGCATGTTTGTGTGCAGTTTCGAATTGAAATTCGAAAATCAATTCTCATGATACTAAGAAAGAGTTAGACACTCGTTTAAAAGCTACCGTAAAAGTGTAGCATTTCGACAACAATAAGCTAAGGACCTAAACTGTTTTCAGGGCATTCGTAGCTCATCTGATGCTACATAATGCACGTAGTTTTCAACTTGAAAACGATTTATCAGTTGGGAAAGTTTCTTTGTTAACTACGTAACTAAAACCTTCGTAGGATTATTATGAAAGATAATTGAATGTGCGATATTTGTCTTCGGCTTTCTTTCAAAACTCGTTGTAACATATAACGAACAACAACTTTCATCATATACATACTAGTGCGTTGGAAGTTTTTAACCGAAGCATATGTTACAGAATCTCTTGATTTAGAATATTTTGTAGATAAATCGTGTTTTACATTTTAATTCTACCGATGTTACACTAACAGTCTTCATCATATAGAGTAGCTAGCATTTAGTGAAAGAATTATGCTCGGACACTATAAAGATCAAACAAATTTATGGTATATCAGAAAAATTAGCGGTATGAATTAAAAACTACAACGGCTAGTGCTGTTCATGTTCATATGAACATTTAAAAAGAATATTAAAGATGATGTAAATAGTAGTTCTCGTATCTATAGAATTGTAATCAAACTGAAACTGGAACGAAACAAGTTAAATCTAGTACATATGATCGAAAATAATAAAAAATAAAAATGATAATATAAGATTGTGATTGAATTCAAAATGAAGAATTGACTTATTTTTGAATGTTTAAGGTCATATTCCAATTCATCCGAGTGCATGTGATCATCTTGATCTACTATGGAATTATAAGGAAGTATTAGATCTTTTATGGATATTTGATGGTACTGTTCTTGCTTACATTGCTGGTCATGACCATGATGGTGGTTATTTTCGTGATCGAAAAAATATCCATCATTTAACATTACAGGCAATAGTGGAATGTGATCCAAATACAAATTCGTTTGCAACTGTACATGTTTATAAAGATTGCCTATTAATTGAAGGTGTGGGTCGTATTGGTACTTACAAAATTGATTGTCAGTTGTAAAAGAAACACAAAAAGAAAAATAATATAACAAAATTTAATGTTTTCTCATCTATATGAAATGATATTAAAATATTATTTTATTTATTTTTCTTCCATTTTAGATTAACTTTTTGTTAAAAAAGAAACGATGCGTCTATATAATCGTGTTGTATTAATGCATCGTAAACAAATATGGCAACCATGGATTACACAAGTAAGTTATTCTATACGTATTTCTTTTTCTTTAAAATTTTTTTTTTTACTATTATATAGAGTCGTTCAGTTGTTAATTATGCAATGGAACATATTCCGCATGTAGTTTTAGGTATTCCTTTTGCAGCTTTCTGTAAGTTTTTAATCTTCTACAAAAAATAATAAATAAACAAAAGAATTCATATCTTTTAGTCATGGTAATTATTATGAGTAAAGAAATTTATAAAGCAAATGCTTATCAATTTAATGTCTATAAACGACGACTTATGGGTTCGTTATTGAAATTTTGTTATTCTTGATATAAGACTTGTTAGGTTTTTTTTTTCTTCTGTATATTTTAGTTCGTCGACCAGAAGACGTGCCTATTGAATATCGACCATTCTGTAGTTGAACAACATCTGGATGATAAAACAGCTCTTTTTTCCTCCCTTTTGTTTCCTTTTTTCCTATCATCCATTAGTAGAGTATCGTGTATATTGTGTGTTTCTTTTTGAAAAAAAACAAACAACACGATTTTGCTAATCTATCATTTAGAAAGTAATTTTCAAGCTTTTTAAATTTTGATAAGATCATAAATATTGATCTTCTCCATAATGAACTCATTTGTCGTTAATTGAATATAGACTTACAATATAAATAAAGTCATTGTCGAAGAATGTATATATATATCTCCATTATGAACAATTGTAAAAATATGATCTTTTGTTATTATCCTAATTACAATAGTAATTATAGCAAAATGGACACAATATGAATGAGCATTTACTTTAAAAATAAATCCATTTTCTTATTCTTTTATTGTTTACATCAAAATTGATTAGAATAATAATATAGATTAATCAATATATATATATAAATGACATTTTAATGTCGATTAGAGATTTGTTATACTTTCGTTGGCAAGAAAAAAATAATCATTTCTATTTACAAATAAGTTTATACATAATCAGAAATTCATTAATGATTATGATGAAATAAAAAGTAAAAGTCTCCAAAGAAAGTTACTTTTAATATCAAGTAGATATGCAAAAATGCTATTGGTAATGGATACACCATAGGACTCACACAATAACGATATACACAAGAGAAATATGTTAAGAATTTATGTAGTATTTTTCTTTCTGTATTTTTTTTCTTTGCGTTCTTTTTCAAAGAATGTCTTCTTCTTCTTGTTCAAAACAATTGATGGATCATAAGAACAGAAGAAGATTGATAGCCAAAAGGAGTCAATTAAAAACAGCAGTGCAGAGACCAACAAACATTGTTGACCCTCGGTCAGCATTTAAACAAGAAGAAGAAAAAGAAGAATATAAACGTCATTCATTATCGATCTACGGAGTAAGCAAATTTTGCCGGAGAACAACGTTGATATTTGTATTGTTGTTGATGTCAATAAAACAATGTTTACTTATTACGGATAGAAAATATATATTCTCTTCTCATAGCAGACAATGTCTATGAACAAATATGTAGAGATAAATACTAGTCATTTCTTTCAAACATATTTATTAGAATGATAAGTAATACATTCTAAACATATTATTATCTGATTATTTGATAAAAATTTTCTATATGAATTAATTTTACTTAAATTACTGTTTGGTATAAAAATTTCTCATTTCAACTGCACCTATTTGATAGGTACATGACGATATTATAATTTATTAAAGATGATATCGTTCTCATCCAGGTTTTGTTTCATACTAATTTCTATAGTTAATTTTGATACATTGGATAGATAAAACAAACCATATCTGTCCATACCTATATTCATCGTCTGTTCAAATTGATCATGAATGGAAGAAAAAAAAGAAATACATGTCCAGTTAAGGAGAAAATTTGTATGTACATCCGGTAACGAATATCCTCTATCATCAAGCTTCTTTCTCCTTCTCTCTTGCTATGCACTGTTGTATATCAGGATAGCTACAGAAAGAACAGTAAAAATATAATTGAACTCGTATATGTGTATATTTATAGTTGCCTTGGCAGTTGAAGATTTAGTTTAATTCCTCCATCATATTTGTATCGATCGTATTTCTTCCTCTTTTTCTTTCTTTTAAATATATATATATCTACATACATATACACTTTCTGTTGACTAAATTCTTGACCGTTTGTCACGTCGCATATCCCTATCGCTAGTTAAGTGAGTACGAGTGGGAAGAAGGGAGTGAATTTGCACGTATATACTCATACAAATCATTTTTTCTCTTTTCATTTTAATTCAACAGCAACAAGCATAACAAACCGAAAAAAAAAAAGAGAATTGAAAATACCAAACATCATGCATAAAAGCAAAGTCGTAAGTCATTTTGAGTTTTGTCCTATTTATTTTGATTTCATCTATCCGTAAATAAATGTTGTTATACGATGGGTCAATCCAGTCTAGTATTAGTAGTTGTCTTAGACACATCACACATCGGTTCAAAAAGCAATGTATGGTCTCGTCTAATTACTTTGTGCTTGTACAACAGATGAATGTAAATAAGACTAGCTCTTCACGATCATGATGTGAACGCGAAGTAGCAAAATTTATCTTCGATAATCAGAATCATCTGTGTACACTAACGCATAAATAAAGAAGAAGACGAAGAATGATTTTTCGCGTTTGAACAATTCTCTTTTTCTCTCTCGCACATTGTCTTTCATATGATTTGATGAAACATTTCATATATAAAGAACAAAAAAAAAAGAATGTTCTCTCTGTCTCTCGAGGACATAGAAAAAAGAGAATACGAAGAAAAACGACGATATATGGTCAGTATGTATAATTGCTGACATAGAAGTAAGTGGCCATCAAGAAACATAAGCAGTTCGACAAAAAAAAAGAAAAAGAAATCCTTTTCTGTTTTTCTTTTGAACACATACAAAAAACGAACTTATTTCATTTCAAGGTAAATACAAAACGTGAACGCGGTTCATCAAACAATAAAAATCAGAATAATAACAATATAGCTAAGCAACCATTAAAAACAGAATCATTTCTTACACTTGGTGCTTTAGTAACCGGTTTTACAAGTACACCAACAAATATGTCTGATGAAATAAATCAAGCTGATGCATTAATTATAAAACCAACAACAATTGATATTATGAATGGTCAAACATTAACAAAATCTCTTCAAGTTAAAATTTCCAATGAAACTAAAAATGGACATGAAACACTTGATGAACAAAATAGTACATCATCACTATCACATATCGATCATAGTATTGATAGTGGTCTATCATCAGAAGTAACATATACAGAAATTGAGAAAACAAATGGCGATGATGAATTACATTCAACAAGTACGAATACATCAACAAATCATCAACGTGAATCAAGTCCAACAAGTGGTGTTATTATACCTGAAGAAAAACGTGTTACAGATCGTGTTAAAGTATTTGAAGCTGTTGCTAATAATAATGATAATCAAATAATAAAAAATGGTAATACAAAAAAAAAATCTTTAACATCATCAAGTTTTTCGATTGGTGATCATAAACAAATATCATCAACATCATCAACAGATGCATCTGATACACAATCAATGAATGAAATGAAATCATCTAAACCAAAATCAAAAAAATCATCTTTAAAAAAACAAATACAAAATTTACTTAAAATTGATAAATCATCAACACAAGATGAATTAAATACTCTTGAAGAACAAATTATGAACGGAAAAAAAAATAAAAAAGATAATAGTAATAAAACATTTGTTTTTCTTTTTTCACTTCTAATAAATCTTTGATTTAGATTCAACAACAACATCTACGTTGAAACATCAATCATCACCAAAAAATTCTATTGAACCACTTGAAATACAAATTCCACCAACAATAAATAATAATGAAAACTCTTCATCAACAACTGTATCAAAATTAATCAATACGTTTCAAACAAATGATATTGAACAAACAGTAGTTGCACCAAAATTAAACACTCCTACTCTTCCATTGGAAAATGTAAGTTTCCTTTAGAAAAAAAAAGAATTACATGCGGCTCATTTGTTCTTTATTCATCTTGATCTGATATAGAACAGTTTTATTGATTCTTCTTTTGATCTTTTCTTGTATATTTATACGTATGAACGGGTAAACTCATATTTAGTTCAGCTTGAATGAGTTTTCTTTTTTGAGATATATATTGAGATACATACACGAAATAGTTTACTTCGCTTATGATGATAAATGATTGACGTGCTGTTTTATCTCAATTGACATGCCACAGGCGCGAAATGTATTATTTCTTAAGAGTAAAAGTGCATTTAAGTGGTCTTCAATTTCTTTTTCTCGTTTTTTTTTCTAAATCATATGGGTTAAAGCTTATGCTATTGTCGTTTGAGAAGATACTAATCTTCTCGAATGAATGTTGATATCAGTGATGAATAGTTCTTAGTTTTATCTGTAATCGAATCTGGGTTTATATCATTTTTCTTAAACATCAGTCTGTGTGTTAATTAATATTTCTATGTCTTCACACGTTTTGTATATACAAAACAACAACGAAAAGGTTTCTATTATTGTTTTTAAATCTCTGTATTCATGAAGATTTAATTAAAAGAAAAATTTACTTTCTTTTCTTCTTCATACTATATTGCCGACATCAATCAATATGGAAACTCTTGGGATAGAACTTTAATTTTGTCTTGTCTCGTTTTCATATATCAACAATATGCATGTTTGATGTACAATTTTTCATTTTCTTTCACTTCTTAGGAGTTTTAATGAGATTTTATGATGAACAAAAAGAAGAAGAAGAAGGTGTATGCATATCGAATGTGATGATGATCTATGCGTGTCACTCAGCGTACACATGAACGCGCCCTCGTTTTTTTTTTCCTTTACATATTTATTGGGTCCTTTTATGTCGACATATTGAAGTAGTAGTAGTACTATTGATGATGTGTTGTTGCGTAAAATCTTTTGATATGTAATTGGCGATAGGATTATACGTTTTTGTATATTTAAGAGAAATATTATTGTTCAAAGTCGAAATATTTGCTCTAAGCAATAGACAAGAGAGTAAAAAAAAAGAAATGAATCAGGCGTAAGGCGACATGTAGTGACCGAGAAAATTGGACTTTAACATACAATCCATTGACGTATAGAATAGAGATGATGATGGCTAGGGGATATATATGTATATATATATGTAGGTATATAAGTATCAAAAGCTCAAAATAGTTCTGGTTATTTTTATTTTTTTTTGCATGGAAAAATAGTATTGATTAGTTCGAAATTTTTGTAGTGAATAATAATAACTAATAAAAAAAAGGGTGTTATCGTATGTCACTCTTCACTGATTAGGTCGTGATACTCATTGACGACGGTGACCAATATACGATGATATGATAGGATATGAACGTATATCAAGATCGAAATATGCATATATGAATGAGCATGACGAGTTACTTGATTGAAGGTCAATATCAAAATTGAGGAGAAACCCGTTATATGAAGTATTGATACTGATCATTGCGGGATGAGCAAACGAGAAAAAAGAAGAAGAAAAAAGAAGGTCATATATTTTGTATGATGGTGACATATACACAACTGTGTACAATTTCAAAAGAAAACGAACATTGTGATAAGCGTCTTTCTGGTACGATTGCTATTTGAAATTTGAGCTGCATTGAAGCAAGCGTGCCGTCACCGATGGTGAGTCTTATAAAATAAAACTGACACAACAGTCGGTTATATTCTTTCTTTATTGAACAACCTTGTAAAAATTGATGCTACACTTTTGCTTTGTTCTGTTATAATTAACTTTGAGATTGAGGTTGCTGCCATCATTGACAGAATGTAATGATATAGTGAAATACAAAACGAGATATTTACTTATCGAAACCAAATGTAATTTTCATTTACCTAACGCTTGACTCTAACAGATGTCAAAAGTATATATGTACTCTTCAGACAGAACGTACGATAGTGAACATTTTTCGAGACTTATACATAATCTTATATTTATCTTTGATTTTATGCACATCTGAACAAACAAGAGAAATAAAGTACGTTTCAAAAAAGAAAACAAAGAAAAAAGTTATTAGTCTTTGAATATTAAACTATGCAACAAAATAAGAAACAAGTTGATTTTTTCTTCAAATAACAGCATAATTAGGTGGCATTTTTCTCGGTGCCGGGTGCATAATGTGGTTTGCTCTTATAACAACCACAATTTTTCTCTCTTCTTCTTTCTTTTTTTATTGACACAAATGAAGTATGATATAAAACAATAGTATAAAAGGAATACAGAACTTTACCTTGACAGTTTATTTTAAAAAAATAAACAAGATACGAAACAATGTAGAAGAGTATTGAAGTCTGCCTATTTTCAATTAATACACGAATAATAGTAACGTACGAACAAGTGAGTGAAGTATTTGTAAGCTCTTCGAAAAAAAAATTGACTTAAGATCTATTCTATATTCCTAACAAAATTTCTTGACCTCTTCCGTTCATATTTGCTTGTTGAATAAATGAAATTAAACTTGACAAAAGCATTGTTCCAAAGTTCAAAACGATTGAACTTAATGAGATAGAGAAAGAAAAAAAATGATGGGTGGGTGGATGAACGTAAAGTATAGGTGTTGTCGTAAGGATCATCCATCAAAGTACAATGGACAGATAGACAAGCTATATATGTCTAGGTAACACCAAATCAAATAGATTTCATTCAATTAGTCGTCACCGAACAAGACAATCTTTTGTCTTCTGTTTTTTTTTCTCACATATATCGACGATGAACAATAATAGAAAACATTCAGGTACATCTTTCTTTTCTTTGTAGATATATTCTCAAATGTAAGAAATTTCTATAGGAAATATTGTACTTCGCGAAGTCCTGATATTCCTTTTCAAATATATACACGTTGGAAATTTGATTAACATAGCAGAAATAATAATATCAGGCGAAATCTCTAGCTACTAGAAGTAAACATATAAAATCCAGCTGACGACCTTCTGATAATAAATAGGCAACTCTTGAATCGATAGATTTCTTTCTATGTTGTTCGTATGATGTTTGTCCTTGGAATAGTGAGTAGGCGAAGCGATCAGAGAAAAAAAGAAGCAATCAAAATATGTGAACATTGTGGTTTGTTGCCACGCATCTTGATTGTTATAGAAAAAGAGGAATTCTTCTATTTCAATCATTTATTGAAATCGAACCGTACAACAACAATCTTCTCAATTTCGTCTTTTTTTTCTTTCTTGGATAATAAGAAAGAAAGAATATTGAAAAAGAAAAAGAAAAAAAAACAATAATGGTGGATGTTGATGATCTTGATATAAATGGAATAAATGATTGGTCTTCATCATTTTTGCCTGTGATTACATTATCAACTATCGAGGCAGTACAAGAATATAAAAAACAAATAAAGGCAAATGTTAATAATCAGGTAGACTTTTCACGTTCTTTCTTTTTTTTTGCTTAAAATAATATGACAATTGTTTTGATTAGATCAAAAATAACATATCGAATTGCTAATATGTACATGATTAATTTTTTGCATTCTTATTTTTTATTATTTTTGATTCGGAAGCCAAAGAAGGAGAATAAGAAGAAAAATGTTGTGGTTTCAACTAAATTTTTTTAGTTTCACCTTTTTCATTTTTTTTTTATTTATGTGAATTTTACTGTTGAGTTGAGTAATAATAACAATTATGATTTTCTCATGTTTATGTTCAGAGTAGATTAAAGATCTATGTTCATTATACACACATTGCAAATCACCTGTGCTTCAGGGGTTATTCGATAGATGTAGGATGTCAAACAATCAGACATATATAGAGACAGACATCAATTGCTAGAGAAAAGGAAAAATCAGAGACAACCGTCCAGATTATTATAGAGATAAGAGAAAAAAAACAATACAGAACGATGCCAAGCAGCAGAAGGAGAAGAAATAAACGAACGTTTAACTTTAGAATCCACTCATCTTTGCTGTGGTTGTGGTTGTTCTGATAATGTAGGTTCGTATTGAATTAAAAATCATTCACGACATTATTATACTCAGGTGTCATTTTCTTTTTTTTTCTTTGTTGTTTTTGCATGTTCATTTCTTATGTATTTATTTCTATTTCTGATGCCATAAATAATATTAGTATTCTATCTTTGTCACATTCTCATTTTTTTTCTCATCTACTATGCGTGTATATTAAGAATCTGTCTAAGCACTGATGAAGAGATTTAAACTTTTGCTATTCTTTTGTCTTTCTCATCCAATCCTATACGTATAGAAAATATCAATTATAAGCCTATTATCGTTTTGAACATTTTCTGTTTATTGATGAACGTTAACGACGGTGAAACTTTTAAGGCGTCTCGTCTCGTCATGTTTTTGTTATTAATTTTACTCATTCTTATTTTAGCTAACATCATCATCATCATCAACGGGAGTGTCCCAATTTGATACATCGATTAATAACACTGCTGATATTTTATCATCCAATAGCCCAATAAAAAGTGTTCCGTCGATAGTAACACATAGCCCAATGTTGTCCGGTGTTGGTGATCCGATGAAAACATCAATACGTTCTGTATCTGTTGAAACAGGAACTCGTAATCGATCACCTGTACAACGATATGGTCAACAAGAAATAGGCAATAGTTCATCTTATTCATCACTAAATCAATCAACAAATAATCAAGTCACCGATAATTTACGTGTACAACATCAACGTGAAAAACAAGAATTAGCTGAATTAAATGATCGATTTCGTGGCTATCTTGATCGTGTTAAAATTCTTGAAAATAAAAATTTTAAATTAACAAGTCAACTTGAAGATATAGCAAAAGCATGGGGTGCAGCATCTCAAGCAATTATTGTCCAATATGGTGGACCACTCGATCGTCTCCGTCAAGAAGTTAATGATTGTATGCTTTGTGAAGCCGATTTACAAACACGTTTACGTCGTTCACATTATAATATTGATAATTATCGTTCATTAATTCATGATGAAACATCATGGAATGATCGACAAGAAGGAAAACGTGAACAATTAAAATTAGAATATGAACATTCATGTTCTGAATTATCTGCTTTACAAAAATCTTATAAACAAGTTGAAGATCAATTAAAAACTTTACTGAAACAACGTGAAGATTATCTTAATGAAATTGATCAACTCAATGAACAATCCTATAAATCAACTATTGATAGAATTAAATCAGATTTACAAGTACAAACACTTCGAGAAGAAATTCCTTTTCTTAATGATATTCATGCACATTTGATTAGGTAAAAAAGAAAACTACACATCTTCATTATTCTTTGTTAATTCTATACATAATATTTTTTTTCGTCTAGTGAATTTGAACAATTAAAACCAGCAAATGGTATTGATGCACAACTATTTTATCGTCAAGAATTGGAAAAGGCCATACGTGATATTCGTCGTGATTTTGAAACATTAAATGCAGCACAACGTAAAGAAATGGAAGATTATTATCATATTAAAATAGAAGAAATGCAAAATGATGCCAAGAAACTTCCATTACAAGGACGACAAGATAATCTTTCGAAAATATCGGAACAAATTAAATCAACAAAATTTGAATTAAATGATACACAAAAATTATTAATTAGTGAAAAAGATAAATTTAAAGAATTACAAGATCGGTTAGCTAAATTGGAAGAAGAATATAATTATGTACGCAATCAACGTAGTGCTGCTCATGATAATATTAATAAAGAATTAGCTACTGCACAAGAACATATCGAACAATTAACTGGAGAAATCGATACTATTTTACGAAGGTAAATTACTTTTTGAAACTAGAAAAAGAACATTATTTTTTTTTTCATAAATTTTGCTTTACTTTAGCAACATAACACTTGAATCGGAAATATACATCTACAGACGTTTATTAGATAGTGAAACAAATAGACTTACACAACAAACAATTGAACAAGTTTCCTCACCTGAGCCAACACCAGCTTCATTTGGCAGTGAACTTGGCAAAGTTTTTAATAAAAAAATCAAAAAAGGACCAATCGCCATCAGTACGTATTTCTCGTTATGTTAGATCGTGTTTCAATTTATACGAATGCTTCTCTTTCTTGAACAAATTCAAATGAATATTCTCTTCAGATAAATATATTTCGAAGAATTGATTGAATTATCAAAAGAACAACATTATTCATAAAAAAAGTATCGATATTTATATTAAGAAATTCGGTACATTATAATTTTCTTTCGATAGGTTTCTGCAATATGATCAGAGTAACACTTCTATTCAGAATGTGTTCTCTTTAAAGCTAGTTTCGTAGAAATATTTTTAGTACCATATAAACTGAATATGGTCATATTTAATCTGCTGCTCTGATACATATTGATAAAGAACTGTTTATAACTAACACGCAATCAAGAACATTCTTGTAGATTTTGCATATAAAAATAGCATTATACATAATATGACGGAAGTTTGCTCAGTATTTTAGCCAGATTTCCTTTTCCGGATGAGCGAACACTGATTTCTTTTGTTCAGAGCACAACCCACATGGTAGAAAAACCACAAACTCTGGAAAAAAACAACCAAATGCTCGGAGAGACGCTGCCATCATATTGAATAAGATACTGAAATTGCTGTGTTTTGAAACCAAAGCCGAGACTACGTTTTCAGATATGTTATAATCAATACTCTTGTGTAGAAATATTTAACAAATTTCATTTCCTATGTTCTTGCTATATAATAGATAAATGTTGATTTGTAATCTTTGAATTTAAGTAGTGTGAAAGAAAGATTTAAAATTGTTTCGGTTTAGATGTGAACCAGTTCATTATAGGTTCTTCATGCATTTATTATTTTTTTCATTATTACCTTTTTTTGAAAATACATATTGATCAAATCTTTCTCAAATCAATTATTCAAAAAATCGCACATTTGATTTTCATTTTTTACAAACATGTCAGTTATATAAACTTATAACAGAAGTTGCCTTGTCGATTCTAAATATAAGATTTAATAGATAAGATAATAGTGATCTGAAGAAATTCTAATTTGTTTCTTAATATAGAAACATACAAAACAACAATATCACCGGGTATGATTAAGCCTAAATATAGACATTATATCATTCTTGACTATTTTTTATTAATTTTTTTTTCTAACTTCTATTTTATTACTTGTAGAGGATTGTGCTCCTGATGGTAAATGTATAACATTAGAAAATACTTCTAATGATAAAGATGTTGATGTGTCAAATTGGATATTAAAAAGACGTGTTGAAGGTTCATCAGAAATCTCATATACAATACCTTATGGATTAATTATGAAACATGGTAATGAATTAAAAATTTATGCACGTAGTGCACAAAATGCTCATCATCGACCACCATCACAAGTTGTTAATGATAAACTTGAATCATGGGGTATGGGTACAGAATGTGAAACAAAATTATTCAATGAACAAGGTGAAGAAAAAGCATCACATTCTCAAAAAATTGTTTTCGGCTCTGAATCATCACGTAATTTACCATAGTAAGTTATTTATCAAATCTTTTGTTTTATTTTCAATGAGTCCAAAAAAACATAGGCACATAATGTAGTGTTAGATAAACAAGAGTAAATTTTGTGTATTTTTTAATCTAGCGATATTGAATGGCCAGATAGTAAGTGATATTTTTCAATGAAAAATTCTTCCGGGGGGGGAAGCAGCATTTGCTTCTATTCTCGCATGAATATATTAATTCTTCGCATGAAATATTATTATTAACTATGAATAATAAATGTCTGTTTCTTTTTTTATTTATAGAAATCTGACAAGAACACGAAAACAAAGGAGTTGATTATTCAAAGCACCTTTAATAAACATTTTTAAAGCGATTTTGATTTTTGCTTTTTTTCTTTTTGTAAATAAAATATTAAAACTACAAATCATAAACTCCATTTCTTATATCTTTATCATACTTCTTATTTCTCTAGTAGTTTAATACAATGATCACTGTTTTACAGAATTTTCTTTTTTTTCTTTTTTGTTCTATCTAAAAGAATAGTTTTATCTTAGGCAACAATGTCTCTCTCTCTCTGTCTCTTTCTCTTTTTTTTGTGCTGGTTTGTTATTCCGAACTGGCTCCTTGCTTCTTCTTCTTCTTCTTTTTGTTTCGTTTGTTTTGTCTGTTATTAGTATGGGATGCTGGCTGGTTAATCCCACTTTTTTTCTCTTTTTTGCTTTTCTGCTATCAGTTTTATTATGGAACTTTATCATATGCGTGCTTTATCCCTCTTCTTTTCCTTTAAACAAAATAAAATTGATAAAGTTCAATAAATTGAATTACGATTATTTCATTTTTTTTTGATTTAAAATGATCGTATTTTTTTTTTCTTTCAAAAAGAGAAACCTTATCAAACAAAGATACAATGACAACAAAGATAAGTCATACAGGATTTTCCAGTATTTTTAATACTATTTTCAAATTCATCATTTTTGCTTTTAACAAGAGCAAACATTTTGAAATTCGGTTTGACTATTGTAACGAGGTAGAATTAAATTACTACAAAGTTTTAAAGTCGATCAATAGTGTACTCAAGAATTTTTAAGTAATAGGCAATCATGAACAGCAGTAAAAATTGTAGAAAATGTCTTTTAAGCAATGATTGTTGAACCATTGAATCAGTGTTATTAGTGCAAGAAGTCTGTAGGCAATCACTTTTTGACCAGCAGAGAATTGCTCAAAGTCCGATGACTCACTGCGTCACTGAGATGGATAGTTTTTTGGATGGCAAATAGTCTTAATAATATGCTTATATCCTTTAATGGCAATTTCATAATGCATATTTTAAAATTCAAATCACTTTGCAGAAAAAAGAAAGTCATATATGATTATCAATACTCATTGATTTGATTAACATGCTGATCCCATCACTAATTTTAACCCTGAAAATATTCTATCTATCATTTGTCGGCCTTATGCAGCAAAAAAAATGTTTTTTCCGTTCCTTGTTCTCGTTTTTCAATTGTTCGATATTATTTTATTCTCGTCTTGATAGTTCTGGAAATTAATGAAAGAACAAACGTATTTGTTAATCATGAATCTGGACGAAATCTGTCTTAGTCGATAGAGCTTGACGAGCTCATGACGATAGTTTAAAAGGATTTCCCCTACTAGCTTATAAACAGAATTTTCAAGTTCAACTGGCTATATGGAATGTTATATATAGGAACTCTAAGAAGAAGTGAATATTGAAAAATATTACATCAATGCAAAATTTTTTGTCCGTGAAAATGATAACTGTTGACCAAACATTCGAAACTTATCGACCATTGATCTACTTTATAAGTTAAGGAAATGTTCATCACATATGAAAATAATTGACAATCGTACTGAAACTCGCCACCAAACGACCAGGAATATGGATGTAGGTGTGTGTTGAGATACAAGCCGAACCCTCAAACTACTCACTTGACGTCCACAAAAAGACACAGATTTTCAATGATTCTTGTTCATGATTTATACAATGACTGTACTAAATAGAAAATTATGCATAATCTCAGTATCTAACTGCTAAGCAACCGTTTTTCTAGAGACAAACGCTGCTAGCACCATTTGTCTATGTCAAAGACAAATTTACCAAGCTCCTTAGGCTTATGTACCGTCTTATTCAGAATTCTCGGACGCTGACTTCCATTTGTCAATGGGAAACACTTGTGGACGAATTTAAAAGCTATGAATCATCTATTTTAGGATATTAAGCTCTAGATATTATCAATCATTAGAATTTTACACTTATGAGTACCTTACTGTTAAACCTTTCATTTTAGCTCTAAAGACGATCATTGCTCCCAACCATTCCTAGAGATTTCACATTGTTCTTTCGATAAAGATATAGACTGCAAAGAAGAATTCCAACCTTTCAATACCAACATATGAACTATCCTAAAGAGTAATCTAAAAATTTGTCACCTCTCAGTAAATTGATGATATCAATGAAAAACTTACATTAAGTTCGCTGATCAAAATATGTAATTCTGTCAAGGAAGATTAGAGATTTCATTTGAAAAAAAGATACTTCGAAATCCATAAACTTATTAAAACTTTATAGTCATCTTCCCAATCTGAATAAAATACTTTCATGTTACATCTTTTGAGAAAACTCAAATTAAATGTGTTTTTATAATAGTTGCACGTTTTTTGCTCGCACAAATATTTTGAAGACTTGTCATCATCATATTTGCTGATTATACAGGTAGCTTTATAAAACTATTCATTTTGTTAAGGGCTTTCATATTGACAGTCTTCTTTGATGAAGTTTATTGTTTCGCTTTTGTCCTCTAATATGCTAGCTGCTGGAATTTATCTTTTCAACAGTTTTATTAAGAAAAGTTTCAAGGCTCATTTGAAGTCCGAATAGAGTGTTAGATGGATATGAATTTAAGAAAAAACGACAGCTTATGTTTATTGATTGTGTCATCTGTCCTGTTTATTTGACTTTCATTGTTGATATTGTGAAAAAAAAGACAAACTCGTCAGTTTCGACAATTTTGACAACGAAAACTGTAAAAGTAAATTTTGTTCATCCTTATATTGACAGTAAATATTAAATGCTGTGAGTATGGGTGTTTATGAAAGATCTTCTTTGAACTACGTACATTTTCGTACTTGCAAAGTACAACTTGTTGAAAGTCTTTACTTTTCATGATCTGAAATAGAAATTATCATTATCATATACGAAATGCTTGATGCAGTTTTGTAGAAAATTTCATGATGAACCTTTTTTAACAACAAAAATTGCCATATAAACGATAAGAAATAAGTAAAACATTAATCAAATATTGAAACTGCCATCTATTATGGGCTACCAGTTAGAAGATCTTGTTCATCTGTACTCTTCCTATTGTTTTTTTTCATTGCCTTAAGAAAAAACATCGGTATTGATTTATGCCTTAATGGCGGTAATATTAATAAAAGATGAGAAAGATGAAAGATGAAAGATAGACTAACATTGCTACGTTACAAGGTATACAGAAACAATCTAAAAGGTATATTGTAAAAAGTCACAGAAATAATAAACTATAGGTCAGTGTTGAACAAAATAAGAGGCAACAGGGTTTAGATGGAAAAAATGACAACATCAGAATGTATGTAGTCAGAAATGGACAAGCACCGACTTTTCGAGTGCGAGTACTTTGAATATATGATACTGTTTGTTTATCAATAGAAATTTTTTTTCTCCTATCAGAACTAATCCACATCATTAGTTTAAGCGTTCTAGTATTGGTTTATTGTTTTCGCTTTTATTATTCTTAAGCAAATTAGCATGGAAATGAAATATTAATAGTACAAAGTCGTTATTCGATCACGAGTGGTATCTTCTGCAGTCATGGATTACCGAGTAAAAATTACTTTTATTAGATATAGAGACCAATGATGAATTGAAAAAAAACAAAGTCAAGTAAACATGTAAAAACCAGTCTAGGTTATTACACTTTTATTTACTGTCTTTAATTCTATACTGGTTCGATAGTCGATCATGTAAGATGCTATTATTAGTGTGAAATATAGACGAAAGATATCAATTGACGGCACGTCTTGTGATACTTTCGATTCATAATTAGTTGACAAATTGAATTCATCATCATAAATGAGCAAATGAGACTTTAATATGTTTTCTGATTATGATTGATATTGTCTTATACAATTTATAATGTTTTCATTATCAACTAACTAACGAAAATAACAGATTCATCATTGAAATTACTTGACTACAATTATAATCGTTATCATTTACGTCAGAACTAACTGAATAAAGTATATCATCAGCTAAACTATCAGTTATGATTATTGCCAACACATCTGAATCATTTGTCAAATATGATAAAGTACAAATCGAAATTGTAATTTTATATATCACTGTACAAGATATAATTGATTGAGTTATAAATGATCAACTTTTTGGTGAAAATGTTAGTTTGATTATAAATATCAACCATGCTTATAACATTCAACTGTAATTATAACCATCAATTATTTGAACTCAATTAAGTTTTTGACTGTTTGAGTAGATTGGATTAGACTGAAATGGTAGTCACTTTGATATGATTGACATATTTGATAGAACAGATGAAAAATAGGCTTATTTGCAATGTCCTTATTTCAAAAAAATCAGGATTTATGAAATCTTCTAGAAGTATTGTTTTTGTTTTTGTAATTATTTATCTGCAAACAAAGTTTTCTCGTATGGATGCATCAATAGTTCCTTATGTAAGTTAACAGCTATGAACGAAACGCGAGAATTGCAATCGTTGTTATTGAAAGTGTGGTTAGCAAACATGGATACTTATGAACTAAATCCGTCTTTTTAAAAGTTGTATAATTGATTAAGTTAATGAATAGTTGCAATTCTTATAATCATCAACTGTACGTATAACTGTCAATCATGTTTATAACTTTCGTCCATAGTTATTATCGTAAACTTTATTTAGAATCGTTTTCATTTATAATAACTAATCAATATAACTTTTTAATGTTACTCGTGATTGTAAAGTGATAGTTAAAAGTCTCAGCCAAATTCATGCTCATTAATAAGGTACATTCACAGTAGGCATTAACTTGTCAACGTTTGTTTCTCCTAAATGATGTAACAAATATTTCTCTTTGTCTTTGACTTATGAGAAGACAAAAAAATGCATTTTTTCTTCTCGTAATCTGCTCTTTGCTTTGATGCTGCCGCCTTGCTTTCTTGATTCGTTTGTTTCTGTTCTTCGCTTATCAATATATTATATTAACTAGGAGAAACGAGAAAAAATGCTCAATAATATCCGTACTGATATAACTAGTCCTGCACATATAAGAGTGAATAGACAACAACTTCATATAGTGATTGTGTCTTGATATACAATAAATTTAATTATACTAACCACGAGAATTATCTAAATATTGTTACGACCTATATTAAAGGTGATTGTTATTTAAACAGAATAAAAATTACATGAGAATATTTTCTCTTATTAAATATTCTTCTTTACACATATATACGAGAAAATTTTGTTCGCAAATGAGTAATTACATAAAACAACACTCACGGAAAATTTTATAAAGGGTGCTTTTTTTAAGCAAGGACGTTGCAGATACATCTTTTCTTTCATTTGTTCTATCAAACATGTCAATCAAATTAAAATAATTACTCTTTCAACTGAATCTAATCTACACAAAGAATTAAAAAGTCAATTGAGTGCAAATAGTTACGAAATATAATGAATGTGAATTAGTAACAGCCTAGGGTTGATCGTTATAACCCAAATTATAATGGTTGGACTTTTTGAGCGTTTTCCTCAGCGATCGACTTTTCTGAAAACAGTTTTGACTCTCACGCTGAACAATGACATGCACAAATTGATGACTGATTATCATTAGAGATTTGAGCGACAGTCAAAAAATCATCTCATCATCGTCTCGTCTAATTCTTTCAAAAATCTATTTTGAGAGACTACCTTTGCTCACATTTTTCAATCAAATTTTAGAAAAGATGAACTTTGTTATAGACATATTATGTAAACAGAACGATGCATAACCTATACATATAAATATAGAAATGTTTTTATCACGAATATTTCATAATAATAGTATGAAAACAAATAATATTGATCTAGACGTATATGCATATGTACATACTCTCTAATATGTATTTTGTTGAATGATCATTTAGCCAATAGTAATGCGTAAAAAAAATATTTATAAGAAAATTAGGAGATGGTTTTAGGGTCTGGATGTCTTCTTAAATATAAATGACAGTATTGTCAGGGAACGAGGAAATTACAAAATCTTACGGTACACCGCTTCACCCCACCGCGAGGCAGGGTGAAACGTAGAGACTTTATGACTCGTCAATCTCTCATTATTATCATAGCTTTTTTTCATTATACATAATATTATCAATAGAAAGAATTTACATGATAGAAAAAAATATTTTTAAGCAAATGATTCAAATTTTACATACAATATTGTTATTTAAATTCAAAGAATTTTTTGCTACGTATGCTATTGTTAGGAGAAAAAAAAAGCAAAGAAAATACAAAAAAAAATAGTTATGAATTATTTATTAGTAATAAATATTCTCCCTCATGAAATAATAATTACATGTAAGATTATTTATTAAAGTTTCCTATTGTTATTTTCTTTCATTATTTTATGAATAATTTATAACAAAAAAGTTTATGTAGAATATTTTTCTAATATTGATGGTTAAAAATTTGAAAAATGATGCATTTAATTATTTCTTTTTTTTTGTTGTTATTTAATTATGCAAAATCTAATAAAACTATTCAACAAAGCACGATCTTCTTGATCTAATTATACGTTTATATATGTACTGTTGTAATAAATCTATCACAATTATCAGCGTTGAAGTAAAATGTCAGTTGATATATAGAACCTTCTCCGATAGAGACAAATGAATATGTCATGAGTGGTTTTTTCGCTGGGTTATTTATTTATCAGAGGTTTTCAACCGTTATGTAGCATATTACAATCAATCAAAATAATATATAATTGACGTGTTATTGATTTTCGAACAGTTATTTTATTTTAATCATCAATAAAATACTTCGAACGAGACTAAAATTATTTTCTCGGTTCAGTTTCATAATTTGTCGATCAGAAGAAGAAATGAAGAGTCGGATGCATACAAGTACTATTCTGAATTCGACACACACTTATACTCTACTTTTAGATTGCATGAGAACTGAAAACGACAGAGAAACAGAAAAGAATAGAATAACATCAATGCCATCATCGCTTCCGCATGCAGACTGGATAATTTATTCCGAGAGATAGATCGGAGATTCTCGAGAAAAGCAAAAAAAAAGATTGCCTCTGTTCTGATGCATTAGAGCATAGAGTTGCAACGATAATAAACCAGCACATCTATTGTCTCCGATATACGTGTATTTTATTATAAAACAAAGGTCAATTGGTAACTCTGTTGTTTAATAATTGAACTTCTAAGATAATTTAATTTAGATGAGTCAATCAAATGAATTTTGGAATGAAAAAATGAAACATCTCTTCCATCTTTACGGTATTTAATATAAAAAGCATAAAATTATTTTATTTTTTATATAAAAATATATTTATTCAGATATTGATAATGATGGTTCAATAACTCCACTTGATTTTGAAATACTTGCTAATAAACTTTCAACACTTGTTGGACAAGATGACATGAAACGACGTGAAGATTATGCAAATGCACGTAAAACTCTTTGTCAAGAAATAATGAGGGCTGATGCGAATAAAGATGGAAAGGTGACATTAGGTAAATATTTAAAGTTTTTTTTTAAACTTTTCTAAAATGAAATATTCTCGTTTTTTTTGTTTCTTTTAGAAGAATGGCTCGATTTTCATCAACATCTTGCAAAAGAATTACATAAACCAGATACTAATCCAGAAATTTTAGAACAAATAGCTGAACGTATAAATACAACATTTCATATGCTTGATTTAAATCATGATGGTTATATAGCAAAAGATGAATGGGTTAAAACATGTCAATTTTTTGGTGTTGATCAAGCAACGGCAGAAAAATCTTTTCAACAATTAAGTAAAGATGATAAACTTGAAGAAGATAAAGCAAAACATCTTTTTTTTGAATATCTTAAATCAGATGATCCTAATCATATATCTAATTGTTGTTTATGTTTTCTTTAATTATTACAACAATATTAGAACTTCATATGATTCAATATATATGAATGTTGTTTGTGTACTTGTAATTATGTTGTCTTTTTCTTTTTCTTATCCTTGGGTTTTCGTATGGGTCCATATTTGTAGACCGTACATGCAATAACAATTGAAGTATTAAGAATTAAACTAACAAATAAATTTAAAACCATGCTTTTATCTCGTGTTTCAATAAGATTTGTGAGTATACGAGCTAAAATAATATTCAATGAGGTTATGATAACAAAAAAAAACAAGATGATATGAATAACATACCAAAATTATTGTAAGAAGCCATTATCCAAACAGATCGATTAACTTGACCAACACTTTTATTTGTTAGAATAGTTCGAAGTTGAGCTATTTTTGATGTAGCACTAATTGGAATCACAAATACCTATCGTATAAATGAGAATGAATTTAAGAATTATTGTAAATACAACTTCTTACTGTACACATTTGCATCCATGTTGCTGGTATAAGTCCCATGAGACTTATTAGTAGATAGAGACAGAATCTATGAAAATTTTGTTAATATATAAACATAGTCTGATGTTAGATTCTTACATAGCTATGCCATATAATGGAGTCGATCGATCATTCAATTTGTCTTTTTCTTTTGAATCTTTGATTGAATATTTTGATAATGCCCAAAGGAGCAGTAAATCTATGATATTTAATAAAAACACAAAAAACATTATTCAAATTCTTTCTCTACCTTGTATAAAGAGAAAAATATATTCAAAAAATGTTAATAATGGATAATTTCGCCAAAGATTATAAGTTAACATCAATGTATAACTAAATTTTAATAATAAACAATTATTTATTTATTTATTGATATGTTCCTACGCTGTTTCTTCAAGTAATACAGATGATATCGATACACTTTCAACATTTTTTGTTTTATAAATTTGATAAATTTGAGGAACTTTCTGTATTAAACATAAAATATTAACTGATAGACTAATTAATTGTAGAAGCACCATGATTTTTGTGGTTTAAAAATGAAATGAAATTACTGAAAGTTAGTATTATTCTACAGATATCTTTTTATCAGATTTTTATCTTGAGAAAATTTCCATCTGGAAATAGGAGCAAATTTATTCTTTCTGTCTTAGCTATGATGAGTTGTCTTTTAATAAGTAATTCATTGATGATTAGCGATGATTAATGCAAATCTTTTTCATTCTGTGTTTTCTCTTTCAGCATTACTTTAAATGATTTAGTAAATCTCTTGTCAATTGAATGACATTACTTGTTAATGAGTCTTTTCTTTTAATCAGCTGCATTTTTTTTTTATCAAGGTCATTTTTGTCTATTATTTTTGGAAGCATAAAATTCTCAAACACGACAGTCCTTTCATGAACTAAAAATATGCATTGTATGTCTAATATCAATAAAATGTTTTTATATAGATCATCATCGGAACAAATATATATATTATGAATTTATTTGTATAGTTTTGTTTAATAAAAACTAAACAATTAAAATCGTTTGGATATTAATTAATTCGTAAAATAGAATTATTCGTTTTAGGAATTTTCCAATGTCTTGTTAGTATTTGAAATTTAGTGTTTGTTTATTATTTCTCTCATTTCTGTTTTTATTTTCGATTAGAAAAAAAACTATTTAGAAATATAAAAAATAATATTCCATATGTTTTGTCAAGGTCAAATAAATATGTCTTGTTATTTGAAAATCTGATGTTTTTTTTCTCAAGCCTTCAATCATTTTGCACTTAGATATTGAATTAACTGGTGTTCAAGAAGATGAAATCTATCAAAAATAGAGAATCGACATGATTGACTTATAATTATCCATTTGGAAGCAATAATAGGCTTTAATTTCTCGGTGGTCGTTCGTCGTCAGCCGAACAAAAATTTATACATTAATGATAAAACGATTGTTTTTTTTTTGCTCTTTGGTTATATAAAACTTCAGATATTTTATATTTTTCTCTTTAAAATTATTGTTATGTATTTATAATAGATTATTGAAGTGAAGCTGTAGAATTAGCTAGAGTTATGAAGCATAAAACAAAGATTCCTATGGGAAAACTCTATTTATAATATCGACAAATCAAAATCAATAAATTCAGCTGAGTATCGAAGAAGAAATGATCGATGATACGCCCTTACTATGAAAGAAAAAAAGGTTATTGATCAGCATATTCATCGTGGATATTACTAACGGATATAAATGAAAAACATGTAGACAATTCAAAGAAATATGATATTCTTCAGTTGTCTATACCACATTTTTTTTGAATGAAGGTTTTCAAAAATTAGTATTTATAATATGATTATCATATTATTAAGTACACCAGTAATATTGATAAAGAACTTATCAATGATAATACATCTCAAAGAATTGATCGATTAGTTTATGGTCCCCCTGAAGAATTGATCATGGGCCAGGTGCATTCAGATTTTATGAAATCTTTAACCCTCTATCATCATGTTTTAGAAAGATATCCAACAAACAAGGATCAAAAATAGCTCATTCAACAACCCTAAATCCTCTGTAGTTTCTCATTCTATAGATTCAATTTTTTTTTACATTTGATAGAGCATGATAAACTGCAATGTCTGGCAGGACCCTTGTTTTTAATACTTACTTTCTATGCAGAGAAAAAGAACGTGACAAGTTTAATACCTTGAAAAATGGTTATCTATTTATAAAAGTACTTTTTTTATATACTAATGCAACAAAAAAAGTGAATCCAAATAACAGGCATTGGAGCTTCACATACTCTTTCAAGTAAAAAACGACAATTGACTAAATGAAGTTCCTTTGAGAATTCCCCGACTCATAATCAAAAAAATATATTGACAGAGATAGAGCGAAGAAAGACTTCCGGATTTGTCTAAAAACAGAAAGCATAGTTTTCAAGCAGACGATGATAGAAATCATCAAAAACTTTGGCAAAAAAGGAAATGTCAAATAAATAATCATTTCGTTTATGAAAGATCAGTCTCCCCAGGCTATCATCATCTCGATTTCAATGATTCTGACGACAACTGACATTTTATTTTTTTTTGAGGAAGGAGAATAGCGTCTTAACAGTATAAATACAAAATCAAATAAAAAATATTAACTCCGATAATAAAACATTAAGTGAAAAGTAGAATATTTTAAAAAAGCATCAATAAATTTGAGTAATTTTTAATGAAAGAGAAATGTGTTTTTTTTATTGCTTCTACAGATGAATGAATACAATTTTAAATTATGACACAATATAGTATTCTTTGTAGTTTATGATTAGAGAGATGAACCGGTTCAAGTCAATGTGTATAAAAAGAAATATACGCAAAGTGAAGTACCGAAAGTTTTTTTTTTGCTAACAGCTGAATTTTAACTATTTATGACTTTATTGATTGATACCGGTCGAAGAATTTTTCATTTATTAAAATCCAAGAATCGGAGAAGAAACGGTCAACAAACCAAGTAAAACAAATATAGATGTAAT